TTTGAATGAGATAAGTTCTATTACCTTGACATTCTGTTGAGCTTTCACTATCGAAACTCTAGCAGGTGCCAAGTGGGTCCGAGTGGGAGTATCACCGGCTGGACGCTGTTGTGTAGATTCACCGCACGAACGACACAACCCACACCTCAAACATCATAATTATAATGAATTTTATACTTTCAATCAGTAAAGCGAAAATGCAGCAGATACCTCAAGCACGGCGTTTCCCCAGGCCCACAGCTACACGTTCCAGTCTTCCTGGTAAATGCAGGAATCGGACAAGCTGATCCGCGAGCTGAACACAATCCACATTGCGTACAGTATGATGGAATATCCTGAAATTCAATATCGTATCGGCTGATCAGGTTGGTCAGGTACAACCTATGAAAGCAACCTTAACAAATAGATGTTCAGATGGTTCACACACAACCGTAGATCCGCGCCGTCGAGGTGACACTGACGATGTTACTGGCGCTTGCTAAACTACGGTAACTTACATATTTCTTAAAAACTGACCAAAAATCCAAAACTTTTGCCACAGTTCCCTCGTAGGGTAACGAGAAAGTTATTTTTAAGCAAAAATGCACCGTACCTCAATTCTTCCACATTGATTCAGATTGTTCAAACCCCATGTGTAGACGTAGCCCTGTTTTGAGATCGCTACGGCGTGAGTCTTTCCAAGAGCAAGGGATGACTATAAAATTTGAAATTCGGTTGGTATTAATAATAATAATATAAGAAGAAATTGTAATTTTTTAAAATTTGCATTACAATTCGCTCGAGTCTAAGCCTGAGAATACGAGCACAAAAATATGTGAAAGTTGACTGAATTACTCCACCAATTACGTACGCTACCAGAGGCTATTCCCCATCCAAACATCTAAAAGCAGTTGTAGGCAAGGCTCACTCTAGGCGACTCCAATACTACAACTTCAACTGTGGCTGTGTTATAGTGTACAAGTTCAGTGGTGAGTAGGTAACAGTTTGCGCAGCTTGCTATTCCTATTTCAAACGAATTTCTCCGCAAAGATGACTTTCTATCGCCTGCCAGAATCATAGAATTACGGTAATAGCGCTGGGACTACGGTAGTCTCACACATCCATGGACCGACCACATTGAAGATCAAGCAAGACTATTTCATCTTAGATTCATTAATAAACTCACCATATGTGTACCATCCAAGCCTAAAACCTGGCCCGTTTCTGGATATACACTCATCCCATGCCGTCCGCCAACATAAACTCGTCCGTTATCGGTTACGTAGCCGTAGCTACCAGCGGCACTGCTGATCGACTGAGTTTTTCGCCTGAAAAGTTCTTGCGCTGACTCCTGAGGAGAAAATAAAATTCAGAAATCCCAGACGAGGTAAAACATTACAGTATTCAATAAATAAATATAGGGATCACCTACAGCTTCTTAAAAATAAAACGAGAAAAAGGTAGTGCCCAATAACATTTCCGATAAAAATATAGTTAACAAAACACTCCGGAACTAAGCCAATTGTGAATAAAAATCAAATTAAACCCAAAATAAGCAGAACTCAAGCAGCAAAAACAAAAATCAATATCGCAAGGAAGATACAAAAGCAATACCTATTGATGGTTGTTAGTCGTCTCAATTTTCCAGCTCTACGGCCATCATCACCACCGGCGATCCAAGCATGGCCGCTACCGGCTCGGAATAGAACGTATTCAGCACCGACCGACATTTGGACGATGCTTTCCGGCAGTACCAATTCCATCCAAGTTGTGCCGGTTTCCTGAAAACTTACCGATTTTATTCGGAATCACTCAGTAAATGCGAGTGTAATTCGAACGGATCAACCTGGAAAATTTGGCCCCATTCCACTCACTTACCTGCAATCCATATTTGATCCCATTTCCAGCGTAATAGATCTTTCCTGATCGTGATTGTAGAAAAGCTATGTCCTTGCCAAGATGTAAATCGGCGGCTTGATCTAAAACAACCCAGTAAAAGCGAACACTACGGGTAGAAAGACAGTAATGATACCGATCCTAGTGCATACATAGTAAAGAGCGTCAAACCACTACAGTAACATTGAAGAAATCATCACAGTGAAAGAAAAAGTAAGAAAAAAATATATGAGAACGGAAATAGAACTCAGAACTTAAAGAACAGCAAGTAAACAGATCGTCAAAAGTGAAATTCGACACAAAATTTCCAAAAAAAATTGCCTCTGAAATTTGCCAAAATAACCTTTGGTAACACCTTGCCAGACGAGAAAATATGGTTAAGGGTCCATTCAGATGGGAGGGGTCAAAATTTCAAGACCAGTTATGTTAAATTCAAAAAAAGAGAAGTAAAACCCAGTACCATCAGAGGACTTGAATGAATTTAAAAAAGAAAAGAGTAAGTGCAAAAAGTGAAAGTGGACGGTGTAGCTCATAAGGAATGATAGTGAGTTCGACTTACTATGTAAATACTTCGGTATGGTCATCGGTAGTTGAAAAGGCAACGATTTTGTGTCGCCATGACAGCAAAAAGAGACATCGGTAAGTCGAACTGCATGACGGGATTTTGGCTCAGCAATCGGTACAAATGAATCATTCAGAGGTATTAACTGAAACCATATCGTAGATCATGCTTGAATAAGATCATGCTTGAATAGAGTGTATTTACAAATACATAGCAACCGATCAATAATCGATTAGTGCGATAGCGTGACCGTAAGACATACGTGAAGTGTTGATTGTGAGGTAACAGAAGCATGATAGAAAGACGAGCCATCCGAAAATAAGGCGGTTTGCACACAATCTGTTGGCAGTATAACCTAAACGGAAAAACACTTAGGCAGAATCAGAGAACGGGAAAAACACTGAAGGCCCTCCTTCTCGGACACTTTTTTGGCGAAAAGACTTTGATGCCAATCAAGCCCGTTTTGGAATACGCCTTGCACCCGACTTCCATTCAGGATTACAGTGCCGTTCTGAATGCGTCTGTGGCCTATACAATAACTCGTGGTGGCCAGCCGACGAACAAGTCAGTGTGTATTTCCACCTTCCCATAGGAGTCAGGTATCAATTGACCAACCCAACCCAGAGGGAGGGAAGGTTTGGTTAGCCTAGCAGTTATTGACCCGGGGTTCGTCCTCCGGACCATGCGTGTGTGATAGTGCCCTTTTTGCCACTAAGCCCTCCGCCCCATGTCATATTTTTGAACTGAACTTACACTACGCAAAAAAATCGTTGGTGTTGATGTGATAAATGATCAATGGAAATCGCTCCTCATCTACAATCGACAAGTATGGGACAGGTATGACTTAAACTCATTCCTGAAACCGGAATTATACAGAATTCTTGACAGCTCTTCCTGTCTCCATATCATCCTATCTTTACCCTGAACAAATCAAAATCAATCTTAACCTTTCACCTCAAATTTAATTATTTTTGCGGTTCCATTGGCATTTGAGGGTTTAATAATTTTAAAGGCATCGATCAATCATGTCAAAGGAATGCGCCTTGTACTCGACCTCTACTCAGAATTGTGGTGGCATATTGAATGCGGGTGGCAAATCGATGTACAAGTCATGTATTTTTCCTCCTAGACGACTCTGGTATCAACCAAACGAACCCGGAAGGGTGGGTGGCTCGGTCGGCCTAGGCGAGAAAATCCATTTACACAGAACACCTTACCTCTCCGATGTCTCTTAACGAATCAATATCGATCACGGATATGCAGGACGACTGTCCTCGTCGCAAGTACAAAGATCCGTTGCAAAATGTCAGTAAACAATTTCTTCTGAAATAAATAAACTAAGAAACATTATCCTCATTTATTGCTTAATCAAGATCTATTTGATGCCATTTCCCAGTATAGTGATGCTGACGGGTTTGTAACTTTGCGACACCGCCTTCCATATAGCTCTACCTTGAAGTTTACTCCGAACAGCACTTCTCACACAACTGACCTCATGAAAGTAAAAATTGGAGAAGGAAACTCACGTTGCTTTGATAGAACTATTTGAAGCATATAATTTTCCTAGAACCGTCTCTTGAAGGCCGGATCCAATCTTATAGAAGCCAACATAGTTCAGTACATATACGTATGTACCTAAACAGGTAGGTAAGTGTTTAGATAGCCCTTTTCGGATCTCAATTACTGATAATCATCTCGGTTTCTACTTACATTAATGATCTACATGAATAATTCAAAGCTAAGTCGATGTGACGTTAGTCAAATGTGATCCAAGCGAATTTTCGAATTTCAGCGATTTTCCCCTTAACAGGTGCTCCTTATCTAATTCCTTTGGGGAGACATAGATATGGATATGCAGGTGGTTCTAAGGAGTTTTCTAAATGGTAACAGCGACGTATTGGGAAAATTCTTTGATTTTTGATGAAACCTAAGTGCGCGGCGCAGTCCCGAAAGGTCAACCACAGCACAGCCGACTGGTTTGTTGCATCTTACCGGTAGATGGAGCTAATGTTCTTGTGATTCCAGATATTCACGTCTGAACAGCTCCATAAATCTTTCATATGTATTTTAACTTACATTACATCCAAATGTCTATGTATGCTGCAGCGCTGTAAGGAGTACAAGAGGAATTTCGGGAGTAGCGTCGTTGGACCTTGTCGTAAATCTACGGTGGTGAGTCGCACTGCTTATTGCTTGCTGATTGCTTATTTGACCAGTATTTCAAAATTGGAGCTTCACGAGAAGCAAAAAAACCGAAAAAAAACAAGTAGTAAAGGCATGTGCCTAACCTAGGATCTTTGGAGTTCCACTCACCGTCACATGCTATTGAACCTTGCAATCGCATATCGTCATCTGGTGTCTCAGATGGCGAGTCGTTCGGCAAAGTAGGTAAATCGAAACTACACAATATCCTATGTTCATCTAAAGGCCGTTCCGTCCAAGAGCTGCTCCTGCAATAGCAAAATTATGATGTGTTTTATGCGCCCCAGGAGTACCCTAGACACCGCCGCGCTCTATGACCTAGGTTCGGCCCAGCGACGTCGCGCGGTAACTCGTGACTGTATCCCAGAAATGTATTTGAATTACAGTGGGTGGTAGAATATAAACACAGGAGGATCTTTAGTCAGAAAAGATCCAAAATATGGAGCTCTCTAATGAAACTATCTGCAAAACCCTGGAATATTTTTTCTTCCAGAAAATTGTGACTTCTACACCCCAACGTTTTAACCAATTCAACATAAATGTTCATACCCGACTTCAGCTCCCTTATGGGCTTTGTACTGTATTTTTATGCTCAAGCGATGCAGATTCTCTGGCACTTGAAGCTCATCATATGACGAATCGAAGCTCTGAAAGAATGAAAAATAGACATGTAGTGCATATTGTAAATGATAGGGAGTAATAGGTAACAGGATAATACAGTTATATACTAAGAGATAACTGATAGTCGCAGCAGATAATAGTTGATAAAAGTTGATACGATCGCTACAAACTACTACAGATCATTAAAGCCCATACTTTGAGGCTTACCTTAGGTTCATTCCGTTGCGTGCAGATTAACGCTTCGACGGCATCCATAAGATGATCGGGTAGACCACTACAGACCGCTAAAGCTGCTAGACAACTTGACGCCCGGGAACAAACTGATGGTGATCCTAAATTGACCACCATTTAAAAATGACGAATATCACAAAAACACAAATACCACTATGTAAAATCAGGGGCACTCATGCTCCCATACCCACTTGTTTCGAAAAAGGAATCACAAAAGAATTACAGGCAAAATTATGAGTCTGATGAAATCAAAACAAATGTATCGAGCTCAATTCAATTATATAGTCCTTTCCATGGGAGTAAGTTCCCAAGCTATAAGCGGAGATTATAGGATGATTATTTTTATGAGAATAATGGGACCTAAGGACCATTACCTATCCGTGAAGGTATCTGTTCTTTCCTGACTTATTTCGATCTAATTTGATTAGACAGTAAAGGATCACTTTACCAAGCCCTTGCTTTCTTGGTACATAGTGCTTCCGAGCGACAGTAAGAACTGGTCGTGACACCTACCTTCCTCACGCAATACCCGCAACACCTTCATCATTGTCTCGACGGACTGTTTCGGCTCGTTTCGTAAGCAGTCTACTGGTAAATTCTGGAATGAATGTTGTTCAACGTTAAAAAAAAAATTTCGAAAGTAAGCCAAAGCCTTTTTTGGGCTCCTTCTCACCTGCAATAATGTCATAAGAGAGTTGAGTGCTTGAACGCAGAGCTCCGGATCTCGTCGGCTAAGTTGTCGTAGAATATCAAACACACACGACATACCCACACAAACCAGCTGGTCAGCCTTAAGTGAGCATTAAAATAAATAATTAAACAATGATTTACCCAATTACTTCTCTATGAATTCTTCAGCACTTTATATTAAGGAAAAAATAACAGTCAAATCAAATAAAACCAAAAATCAAATAAATGAATCATAAAATCTAGATTACAATGGGGAGACAGTGCAGGGCCAGATCGAATCAAGCTCTAAACAGTTACATGTATTCTCGTTCCGTAACTTCAAAATCAGATAATTTCATAAGTGCAGAAATGCTGACTAAGGTTGTGACAGCTCGACTATTTTTCGGTAGTTGTTGAATGCATGGCGTATCCTAGGAAACTCCTTCGTGCGAACTCAATCATTTCGCATGTATGGGATAGGGGACTCAGGGGAGCTTTACATCAAGATGGTACACCTGCTTTTGCTGCCTACAACCTAAACCAAAACAAGAATAAGATATTTTGAAGATTCACCTTAGCATGTTCGCAGGTCTCTACCCTTTCACGAGCGTTGTCGACATGATTCGATTCGTCCACTCCACCTTCCGCCGTTTCCTTTTTTTCCAACAAATCGCCATATCTGGAGACATTTGCAATAAACGACGTGAACTGACCCAAATCCATCTTCCAAAAGAATTTTCCATTAAAACTTACTTCGCCAACAACGTTTTCGCGATAGCAATCGTTGAAAACGAGGATGGAGGACCAACGACATGAAGGGCAGTCGAAAGCTCGTTGGAAAGCTGCGGCAGTTGACCGATGTCTGAAGGTAGGTTATTTCACCTGTGGGATGGTATAAGGAGGTCAAAAAATGCACAAGTCAGCACAGACCCGCTTGATGGATTTGGTACATCCAGTTGATAGCAGAAAAGCTCGCTGCTACAGTGGATACGAGAGGAAAATCAATTCGTTGATAGAATCAGAAGAGCCCTAAGCGTCCCACCTAATCGAACCCAGTTTTCAGTTAATTACTACCTGATTCCCTTGGAAATGTGGAAATACTGAATCGTATGCAGACAGGCCCGGTCAGTTCACATGCCTACAGGTTAGTAAGGTGCCCCTACAATTATCAAAAAACGAATTAACCCTGATCCACCCCTAAAAAGGTCAAGTGGAGGCTGAGCTCTCCCTTCCTTATACGAAGAATATCAGAAAAAAATACAAGTTTGTAAAAATCTCATAAAAATAAAATAGAGAAGAATTTTACCTCGCTGGGATTCTTCCGTTTCCTTTGACAACGGCAAACGTAAAACGCTGCCTTTGGTTCGTATTGGATAGTATTTTTTGATAAGTTGAGCATATTGTTCAGAGACGAGCTGAGACGGTGACGGAGCACTAGACGTAGACGGCGATATGTCACGAGGAANGAGAAGCATTTATACCTCGCTGTGACTCTTCCGTTTCCTTCGATAAAGGCAAACGCAAAACGCTGCCCTTAGTTCGTATTGGATAGTATTTTTTGATAAGTTGAGCATATTGTTCAGACACGAGCTGAGACGGTGACGGAGCACTAGACGTAGACGGCGATATGTCACGAGGAACAAGTTCTCGAAGAAAATACGACATAATAACGGAATTTATGCCATCTGAAATAGGAAGTTATAAACATTTTTCAAAAAACCCGCCCAGAAACGGCTAGAATCGACGCAGCGAGTGAAGCGATTTCATCGCGGTAATCTTGAAAAGTAGCTCTACACCAAATCTGTAACTATCAATTCTTCTGCTGTTTTTGACCAGACAGGTGGGGGAGGGGGGTGGGTATTCAATTGCTAACAATCTTTGGGAAGCTCCGAAGGCTAGGAACATAACAGAAGAGGCCAGAGGAGTGTAGAGCAGATAGACCAGTTGAAGTCAATTTATTCGCTGGAGGCCCTGATTAAATATATACATAAAAAAAGAAAGTGGAAGAGAATTTTTCCAGTTACTTCGAGAAGGTACCTTAAACATGCTCCCGTTCCCTGCCTACCTTCTGTGGGTGATAACGTCGAGGGTCACTCATTGACCAACAAATAATCGGACCGCGAGACTCAGCATAGACACTTCTAGTACATACCCCACCTACAGAACACCGTAATGTACTCAAGAGGAACAGACATGAATATTTTGATATTCTGCCACGCCCCTACTCGCGTACCTTTCCCCGCAATTACTACAAACGATGTCATCTCGATGTCAACGTTACATATCCAGACTACCGCATTCAAACTAATGGCCACATTCTGATCGGCCATTACAAGAATTATGGGAATATACAAAAAAAGAATAATCCTGCTGATTCTCTTCAAACTAAACTGTGAGATTAAGAGCGAGGAAGGAAGCAAAAACGCAAAGTGTGACTAACAATGAAGAGAAATCAATAGCACCCATTAATTCCGATTTCTGGCAATGCCTGGCGAAATATAAATGGAGCCATTTAACACAAAGTGTCCATATAAAAAGTCGAATCGTCGAGAAAGTGCCGTATAAGAGTGTGAAAACAGAGAAAACCACATGAATCAGCCTCAAGACAAAGTAAAAGACAAAGTAACCAACGAGAAAAGAAGAGGAAGATGACGGAGAGCAAGCAGTATC